GAGTATGAAGAAGAAGCCATTGATGAGGAGCTTCCTTCAGATGAAGAACTACAGGATCAAATCAACAAGATCCATATGTTAGTATATGCTTAGAGTACCTTATGAGTGGAACCTTAAAGCATATGTCAAATTACAAAAAAAATTTTTAGGTTTATATCACTTTAAAGGACTTGTATTTAAAAATACCTGTCGATCTTCCAGAAATGCTCCTAGCAGTGCAGTTGTGGGCTTGCAAGAGTGGTGTCAGCTCTTTCAGTACCTTTTACTAAACTATTCAAGCTCTCCCACTCTCAGATCTCTTCAATATAAAGTCTAATCCTTGAATTGTTGTGTAGTCTGTGATTAGAGGGCTAAATAGCATCTTTGCGCTAATGCTAGAAATCTGCTCCGGAGAGCTGATTTTGATAGATTTATATTGCTTTTATCAAATAAGAAATTGCTTCAAATGATATATTTAACATACCAAAAGGAAAAAATAAGACAAGCTCTCTGTTAGGGTTTATGTATATTTTAGTTTGGATCAGTGAAAACTGATTTTACTTTACCATGTCAGGAAAGTCACCATGGATGAAGACAAACGAAGACTCCGGCTATATCAAGAGCGTTACTTGGCTGATGGAGACCTTCACAGTGATGGTCCTGGCAGGATGAGGAAATTTAGGTGGAAAAAATATTGGTATGCATGAAAAATAAACAATTGATTTTGAAGTATTTATAAAGTGGTGTTTTAGGTCTGATAGTATTGTGATTTTACACTGATATTTCAAAATAATTTTTTTGTGGCGGGGAGGAGTTCAAGTATAAAGCTTTGGTTTCCATAAAGTGACTACTGATGATTGGTCTAGAACCAATGTAAATGGGTATATACCGTAATTTTCAGATGCCCCTGGAAGCTGGAAATTACTGAAGTAGACTTTGCATTGCATTGATATTCGCTTGTTTCTAGGTCCCATGCCGAGCAGCTGCATTTCTGCTTGCTGAGCACAGGAGATCAGCCACTCAGCATGGGGCACCAGTCAGAGAATGCTTTGAATTTTTCAAATTAATTTCAAAGTGTTCTGTGATTGGACTAGGTGGAGAGGCAGGGTGGTGATGTTACGCTTTCCAGCTCCTTCAATCGACAAAAGCTTTGCATTAATTTAGAATATGCAAAGTGTTCCCTTAATGGCTTCTGTGCTGAGGAGCCAACCTTCTATGTTCAGAATGCTGCAGGGCAACCACTCGGCGCAGGACCGGAAGCGGGCGTAGTTCACTGAAATAGCAGTGTCTGCTTTGGTGATTTCCAGATCCCAGGGGCACTGGCCAGGTATGGTATATGCATAGTATATTTGCCTAGGCTAGATCATTGTAATGATTAATAAAATATCAATGCCTGAAATTCATCTTTAAAGTGTGACGTCTTTCTGTGTCCTCAGATGATGCCTCCCAGTTTGACATGTTCCGCAGAGATTCTGATCTGGAAGATCAGGAAGGTGATCATGAAGATCTGGAGGACACTGATCTCAAGTGGAGAAAGGAGAGATTTGAACGAGAGCAGTGGCTGCGTGAGCAGGTATAACCGCACCCCAAATTTGATAAACCGCCCTCTATGTTTACTAAACTGGTTATGTAAGCCTGTTGTGGTAGAAAGTTGCCTTGGGGTCAATTTCACACCAGACTGCATTGTGGTGATGTGCGGGCACTATGCACTGGGGGGAAAAAAAAGGTACTGCATACTGTAATTTTGTACTTTTTTCAGAGTAGTTCAAGTTAACATTGTGATGATCCCACCGGACCACACATCGACCACTGCATTACAGCGCAGGTGGTGTGAATGAACCCTTAACCTAACAAACTCCCTTTATAATAAAATGCATTTTCTGTGCACATTGAGAACAAAAGTACCTTCACGGTTTTGATGGCCAATAGCTATCTACCATTGCACAATTTTGTTTCCTAGTTTTAAGGGGACAAACGATTGGCGATATGTAGGTAGGTAAAAAAATACTTTGTATAGCGAATGGAAAGCCAAGTTTATGGCCAGCATAAGAGTACACAAATTACAAATGCAGCATTAAGGACTAGTAAAAAATGCTTTGTCATTATTAGTTACTTATTGACATTACATTTTTGTACTTTCACTGTAGTCTAAAAGTGGCAACCTTGACAACAAGGAAGAGGAAGAAGAGGATATTGGAACAGACAGTCAGTTCATGAAGCTGGCCAAAAAAGTCACCGAAAGAACTTTGCAAAGAAAAGGTGAGACACTTTGTTGTGTATGTTGTACTACCATAAATATAAACTTCCTTTATGGTGTACTCATGTTTATCACTAATAGAGAAACATTTTTTTTTTTTTTTTTAATTGTAAAATTGAATATTTTTAGTCATTTAAAAGTTCACCCAAAAGTGAAAGTCCTTCTTTTGCATCCTCCCATCTCTTTAATTATTGGCTCTTTTTTGGGGGGGGTGAGAGGAGCTGGTACCTGGTTTTGCTGCGATCTGAGTGGAAGTTTTGCCCCTCCTCCTTCCCCCGCAGCCTTCTGGGACACATCACAGGTCCCAGAAGACTGCAGGACCATTTACAAGGCACAGCGCGGATTGCGCAAGCACAGTGAGAGCAGCTGTGAAGCTGCAAGGCTTCACTGTTTTTCCATTGAAATGCCGGCACTTGGACCCGAAGCTGAATCTGCTCGGGTGAGGACAATGCTGGATCCAGGTACAGGTAGGTGTCCTTCTAATGAAATTATGTATTTAAATTTTTCCTGGGGGGAGACTGGAGCTCCTCTTTAAGGATACAGCCTTATAATTAGGAATTTAATCCCTCCCTACGATGCAGGGCAATGTGGAGCTATAGATAAACAGTGTAAATTGTTTTCATCTAACAATAGAAATCTTGCATATTTATTCAATAATTGAAACAACTTGAAAGGGAGAGATAGCACAAGGAGCCAATCAGTTGGGTTGTAGTGCTCATGTGCTAACCAGAAACATGCTTGAAGCAGAGTGACAAGAGATGGGCTCATCAGAGTGCTTCTTTTCCTTTACTTTCCATTCACAGGCATGGGGAATGAGAAGACCTAGTTGCATGAGCTGCAGCAAAGAAAAATCAAGTCTGTGTGGCTATGCTGTGTAGATTTCTGGACTGGATAGATAGAAATACAAATTATACAGCATATACAGTAATATCTCGGTTTACAAATGCCTTGGTTAACGTAATTTTCAGTTTATGAATGAAAATCCATTGAAAATAATGCATTCAGTTTACGGATTTGTTTCGCAATACGAAGTGTATGTTGGTGAAGATTTTTAAATGCAATTGCCAGCTTTTTTTTTCCTTCACTATAGCTCACAGAATTAGCTGTCACTTTCCCTGGAGATAAAGGAATCTTGTGACTTTTAAGAAACTAAAAGGAAGCATTGTTTCTTTTAAATCAGTGAAATAAAATAAACTCTGGGGGAAAGTGACCGCTGAATTTCTGAGCTATAGTGAAGAAAAAAAAAAGCGGTAATTACATTTAAAAACCGGCACCATAATAATAAAAAAAAAAAAAAAAAAACGGTGTGGGGTTCCCCCCCCCCCCTCCATCCATACCAAGCCCTTCGGGTCTGGTATGAATTTTGAGGGGAACTCCCACACCAAAATAAAAAAACAAAATGGCATGGGGGTCCCCCCCAAAATCCATACCAGACTCTTATCTGAGCATGCAGCCCGTCAGGTAAGAGGGGGGCGAGCGAGCCCCCCCCTTAGCTGACGGGCTCCATGCTCAGGTTAGGGTCTGGTATGGATTACGGCTCCCCCCCATCCTGGCTGGTGGTTGTGGGGGTCTGCGGGCAGGAGGCTTGTCAGAATCTGGATCCCCCAGATCCGCCCCCCCATGTTAATGAGTATGGGGTACATGGTATCCCTACTCATTCACAAGAAACAAAAAGTGTAGTGTTAAAGACAGGGCAGTGTCTTTAACAAGTCCTTTATTAAAAGAAAACACTAAAAGAATGTTCCCCGCAATAGATCCAACGTCATTCATGATGCCCGCTGTCACCGCCGCTGCTGCTGCCGCCGACCCGTAAACAGAATTCAAAATAAAGGCTCCAATAAAAACGATGGCATCAATGTCACATGGGGCAAGGGCACTCGGGTGATGTCCCTGGGTGTTCCCGCCTCTTACATATTTAAGAACTGCCAAGCCAGCTCGGAGGCAGAGGGCTAGCAGCCGTCGTCGGGAGCGGAGCCTCTTTTTTTTTTTTTTTTTTCCCCCCACACATCGTGATTGATGTTGGATCTACTGCGGGGGACATTCTTTTAGTTTTTTCTTTCAATAAAGGACTTGTCAAAGACCGTGTCCTGTCCTTTTTTTTTTTTTTTTTTTTTTTTTTTTTTTTTTTCCACACTACACTTTGTTTTTTGTGAATGAGCAGGGGTACCCCATACTCATTCACATGGGGACTGGGATCTGGGGGGGGGGACCCCTTGATGAAGGGGGCTTCCAGATTCCGGTAAGCCCCCCGCCCGCAGACCCCCACAACCACCGGCCAGGGTTGCGGGGAAGAGGCCCTTCTCCCCATCAACATGTCCCCAAAGCCCCTCCCCCACATGTTGAAGGCATGTGGTCTTGTATGGTTCGGGGGGACTCGCTCGAAAAAGGGTCTGGTATGGATTTTGGGGGGGACCCCCACAACTTTTTTTTTTTTTCTTTGTTGGAGTTCCCCTCAAAATCCATCCCAGACCCAAAGGGCTTGGTATGGATGGGAGAGGGGGACCCCATGCCGTTTTTTTAAATAATTTTTTTAATTGCCGGCAGTTCTTTTTACATTCAGCTGTCAGTGGGGAACCCCGCTGACAGCTGAAACTTTAACACATGGTTGTCACTACTATACGAAAAACTTTGCAGAACAAATGAAATTCCTAAACTGAGCTATTACTGTAAATGGCCCCCTTTTAAGTATTTGTCTGTTTTACTGCTTGGATTTCAGTCTTCTTTTTTTTTTCTTTTTTTTTTTTTTTTTACAGCAACTCTAGAAACAAAAGAGCCCAGTAACTCTACTAGCAAAAATCCATTTGGAGTAAACCAGCCATTCAGTCTCCCCAAGGTGAGTAATGCACTGCGATCAGAAAATAAAAATGATGGTACTTTTCAATCTGGACTTCAGGAACCTCATACTTTCTCAGAATACAGCATAGATTTTGATAGTGTTCCTTCCCGTAAAAAACAAAACAAAAACAAAGTGTTAATGGAACATACTAGTTGAAGCAGAAAATTGGAATTGACACACAGAGTATAGCTTACCTGCTCATAACGTGTTTTCCATGCAGACCATCCCATAACTTGTGAGATGTGAGAACCCCTACTTGTGATGCAGGAGGAAAATTCTAAACCATACAATTTATTCTCTACAAAGGTGCCTAATAATTCTTTCACATCCGTTGAGGGACAGAGTAAATAGTTTGCATTGGCAAAAAAAAAAAAATCTACAGCCCAGCTCAGAATAACCTCTCCTTTAAGCCTTTGTTTTTTTGCCAGTGTTCTAAGTGGTTAGACATATATTTCTTCAGTTCTGTTCATTTCAACAGGTTTAACATGACTGCTGTGCACAACTATTAAATACGCATCTTCTGTCTTTTTTGCCTTGTCCTGAGGAGTGCCTGGCAAAAGAGCCAGCTTTCTGTGCCTCATGCAAATGGGGTCATCAGTCTGATGCTACTGACAAAAGTGTTATTTGGATATATTCAATTTTTTTTCCCCAAATATGATTTTTTTTTTTTCATTTTTCAGATGAAGACTGGTTCTATGTTAAACATGCCTAAAGATGTCCTTCAGAAACTAGCTGCAATGTCAACCCTGAATCCTAATGCACCCAGGAACTCGAGGAACTTTGTTTTTCAGACTGTTTCTCCACAAAAGCAAGCTGGATCAGCAGAGAAACCTAAATCTAAGGTATTGTGCACTTTTTTTTTTTCAAATTCTTTTTTTCAACTATACCGCATTCACAGAGCAGCAAAATACGGTATTGTAAGCTTTTACTAGAAGCCTATGGGCATAATATGTTGCAAACATATCTCTCTCATGTGGCAAAGCGCTTGTTCTTCCAGTGTATTGCCTTAGTAATTTGTTTATAGATAGCATGTTTTTACAAATACTCCCTGCGCCCAGGAAAAGAGGAAGTAAGATTCACAAATATTTAACAAAATATATGCAGTGTGAACCACAACTAGCTGTTCCTCCTAAATGAGTGATGTGATGCCACCTAGTGTTAAAACTAAAGATCTTGCCATGAGCAGCACTATAGAAAAGGGACTGAAAGTATACAGTGAAAAATTTGCCTAAAGCACACTCATGAATGCAAGTGCAAACTATTCATAACCAACTTTGACAAAAAATGTCTTTCTAAAGTGCTACATAATGTGATTAAAAAAAATGTCCAAAAGTCTCTTACAAAAAGTATATATTCCTTATCAAAATATTGTGAAAGTAATAGTAAAAATCAAGTCCTCATTGTGCACATGCTGGTGAACAATAATAAATTAGGTGTTCCAAAATGTGCACGTGACATATGACCCCTTCACACCATGCTCTTGTCAGAACTGTATGAACCAAAGAATTCTGGTCTAATATTGTTGTATTAAAGATGTTATGCCTCCTCCACTTCACCAACTCTGGCCCCCTGGCTCCGCTCTAAGCCTCCCAATCTGAGATCACTCAGAAGACTATGTGAAAAAAACACTTGAAGAAACTCATTCTGCTTCACTTTGATTCACAAATAAAATACCCCTTGTCGCATATATCCCCATACAAGTGCTTACTCACATGCATGTGCCCAACCTGGCACTCAGGATTTCCAACAGTGTGTGATATGCGGAAAGCACAGCTGTTCCAATAACTGGAACGCCAAAACCCAAAAGTGATGTCGCTGGACGTGATGTCGGCGTTCTTGTCCCACCTCAACGCTTTTCACCCAATTGGGCGTCCTCAGGAAGCAGGAGAGATGCCATATTACCAGTGCTTCAATATAGAGGCTAATACACTCCTCCTTTGTCCTATATCAGATATGTATATTAGTGCTCAGTTTAGTGCGTGTTGGCTTAAAAAGTATGTTTAGCGCATTTTCTGTTTTATCAAGACTAAGATCATGTATATGTGTGTGTATATTTTATTATATATATATATATATATATATATATATATATATATTATTTTTTTTTTATGTTGCATATTAATACTATGTAGTATTTTATTCAGCCAAGAGATGGAGCTCTATTCTGCTTTTTTACTTAATTGCTTCTAGAGCTTGATGAGAAATTGCGCGTTAAAACCTTGTTTACAGTGACTAATTTTGTATCAGACATCTTAGATAATGGTGCATGTAAGCCCTAATATTGAAAGCTTATTGATGCCCTGCTCTCTGTACTTATTAATGCTACTTTTACTTATGTAATATCCACATTCTGCAGCAAATACTTGGCAATTCTATCAGTCCACTTGTCTTTAGCTTCCTAGCCACACCAAGCACAAAAGCAGATATGTGCTGCCGTAGTTAGCTCCCATTCAAAGACAAGGAAAGCAATCTATCGGAAGCCATTCAGACATCCAACTTGCTTTTAGTCCCTTATGCTGGGTACACGCTATCATTTTTTCGTTTTTTGTCCCAGCGGGCTGAACAAAATAGGACTCGGGAGGCACTGACTGACTAGCCGACGTTACTACTACGATCTCCACGCTGTGCTTTTTCGTTCTGATGGGGGATGTCTGCTTATGTTTACACTTTGAGTGCTTGGTGTTGCACTTTACCTAAGACAAACAGGGCAGCAACACAGACATCATCTAATGTACTTTTAATTTGACTTAAGTGGGTGGTACACACTATGAGAAGATCGGACAAACCATTGTCCGATTTGCCACGAAGGTGCATATCATGGTATATAACTTGTTCTATAATTCTTTTTTCTATTCAATTTATTTTCATTTGATTACTGTACACATTGAGCAGAAATCAGCCGTTATGTTCATATACGATAAAATGTTCTAGTTTGCACCTTTTTTTTATAGTCTGTAAATACTAACGACCGATATGTTCCTTGTACAGAATTTTTCTTTCGCTTTTCCTATAGTGTACCCATCTTAACAAATGGTGCTTTGGGAATACCTTGTTTTTGAAAAACAAAGATTGTATATGTCACTGTAATACAAGGCTGGATACAAAAACCAAAAGCAAGTCACATACACCACACAGGTACAGTTAACCAGCACTCACACCATTATTCTAAGCTTGTGAGTCACATTACCAAGTGTAAGGCTGCCCTGGCACATCATTCGGCATTCACTCAGCACCCCAAGAAATAACCGAATCCATCTGCAATATTCTTACACTGTCAAAAGCTCCACTTTTATTATCAAACAACACACAGGAGGATATATCTTATGGTCCTCACAGTCTGCATAATAACACACACTAATAGTAATGTGAGTATCACAGCATGAAATAAACACATCTTTTGACAGCGTCACAGCATTGAATTAATGCATTACCAAAGCTATGGGAAGGAAAAGACCTCATCGAAACCATAGTGCAGAGGAGACCGTGGTGAAGCCTAGATCAGAATCGAGACCGATGAGTCCTTGCAGCTTTGGCAGAAGTCCCAGTGTCAGAGCGTCCCCTTTCGCATGGGAGGGCTTCCTGATCTCATAGTGTTCAGGCCTCTCTTAAATACAATGGTTCTGTGTAATTGGCAACAATCCTAAAATGGGCAGGCGCCTGGCCCACTCCAGGAAGTGCTTATTCGACACTTCCTTGAGTGGGCCAGAAACACCAGACACCAAAAGGTCCCATGAGGTAACTAGTCACACCCAGTCACTTTACTGGACAAACAACTTATCTTTTCTTAACATAAAGGTTTCTAAATGCGCAAACAGGTTCAACTCAAACAGATCTTATCTACTTTAACTTATGGATTTCTAAATGTCACAAACAAGTTCCACTGACAAGTCTTATCTACTTTAAGCAGTCTGTTGTCTTGTGACTCTGTAAGTTTTCCTTACCCTACAAAATGACATCAATGTCATTCCCCGTCGAGTTTATGGCATATGGGCAACGATGCTTTATTGTAAAAATCCCCAAAGAAACAAAGGGCCCAAGGCCAGCACATTTTATAGGCATTACATTCCACCCCATGGCATTGGTCCATTGGTTTCTGGAGTCTGCCAGCAGGTATAGTCTGAGTACCGCCTGTTGTTGCATGGCTCTCAGGAGGTGAAGTGGGGGAGCTGAGCTAGTCTGATCCACCATCCTCCACTGTATGGTAAAATGTTCTTTTATTGCTTTGATCAGTTAAGACATGGTCAAAGCCACCCCCAGGTAAGGCATACCTGTCTGGTGATTCTGAGGGCATGTGCGCACACACCCAGCATGGTTTGCAGTGGTCCTCAGCCAAGTATACCACCTGCATTGATTGAATCAATGAGTTGTGTGTTTCCCATTGGCTGGGGTTCTTTGGTGGCAACATAAGCCCATAGTACCTGCTCCGCTGGATTAACACCTCTACCACCCATGGTTGTTCTATAAAGCTAGCATTAGTACAAAAATACAATCCTTCGTTTTCTTTTACTTCAAATGTGTATATTGCTTGAAAGTCTTAATGTCCAACCTCACTTGCCCTCCGACTGAGGGTGTTTGATGAGTTTTGGTCCGGGGCATGAAACAAATTCTCCCTCTCCACTCTCCTCTGTAGGCATAGGGATGTCAGGGATCTTGCCATCATTGCTTCCACTCGCAGCCTTGGGTTCCTGGACAACAGGATCACCACCAGATTTATCCATAGTAGGTGCATGGCTGTATCCTGAACTTTCCCAACGGAGTGGCATAAGCACAGGTGTCACAATAGCACGTTACAGGATGGTCTTCATTTCCTATAGAAGAATCAGTCTTGTGAATATCAGGTAAAGCTTTTATCTTCACTCTAACTCCAAGGGCTCACTTCACTCCTTAAACTTATTTCTATTCTCTTATCTTATTGTTCCTAAAAAGAGAAAAAAAAACTTTGTTGCGTTAACTTCTTTCATCCTATATGAAAGAAAAAAAAACACACACACAAGGTACCTCATTACGCTTATAAATGGTATTGTCTTACAGCCGCTTACCCTTCTAACTTCTGCGAGACGCTTCATGGAGTTTTTTAGGTCCTAAAAAGCTACCATAAGGCTGCGAGGTGGAAAGAGCCCTTACCACCCCACAGTTAGTGTATTGTTAGTGTCATTTACTCCCTGAGGAAGCATTTTCCAGACAGCAGATGCCGCCACTTGTCTTCTCCATCCACTAAAAAAAATCGTCGTACTGTCATCACCGGAGGCTATGATTTCAGCCTGCAACGGGGGACCATTTTCCTGGCACCACCCTCAGGATTCCTTTACCTGTAACAGGTGCCTTGGTCACCTGTAAACAGGTCTTAAAGCATGAAGTCTGTACAATTGCGGTTCAGCATCCTCTGTAGTGGGGTCAAACCAAAAAATCTGTCATTAAGTTGCTTAACTGCTAGGGGAAGGTAAGCCATCCAAGCACACAACTCTCCTAGTTTCCTAAATTGTTGTTTAAGTAGGCCAGCCATGTGTTCCACAAGGCCTGAGGCCTGTGGGTAATCTGGGATATGGTATACCCACTGAATATAATTTTCCTCAGCATATTGTTTAACTTTGTTCCCTGTAAAGTGCGTACCATTATCAGATTGTACTTGCTGAGGTGATTCATACATAGCTTCTACTCTCTCCAGAGTAACAATGGTGTTATCCTGATTTGCCCTGCGGTTGGGTTGGGCTACTATTAGTCCTGAAAAAAGTGTCTACAGCAACACAAATGTATTGGCAGTTTTTGCTATTGGGCAGGGGCCCTGCATGATCTATTTGCCATATCTGCGCTGGCCCTTTTTCCTCGCAGCAATTTACCATAG